TCGCTCTGTTTTTAATTCAAAGCCTTTGGCCCCAGACAAATCTGGAGGGAGGCTGGTCCCCAGCCCCGCCCCTTCCACCTCAGGCCCCACCCCCTTTTGCCCCAGGCCCCGCCCCTTCTTGGCCAGATCCGGCCCATGACCCCGAATGAAAATTCATTGAGTGGCCCCCCTGTAAACATTATTGCCCACCCCTACTGTGTTGGTATCCAAAATACTGAAACTGCCTCTCAGCATGATCAGCTCCTGGGAAGGAACATCGCCCGTAGCCAGGAATGATCCAATCAAAGCACTTCAGAATAGTCCCTTGACCCACAAGCAAACCGAGGGTGTGTCTACACAGCACCGTGATTTCGAAATAGCAATGCGAGCGTCTACACAGCAATTCGAAATAATTTCAAAATAACAGACGGCTTCTTTCGAAATCTGGAAACCTCATTCCACGCGGAATAACGCTCATTCCGAAAGAGCTAGGTCAGGATAGCCGGAGTGTGGACGCGCCACTGCTGCTCTTTCGAAATAGCTCCTCCCCAGGGCCTTCCGCATTAGGGAAGCCTGCCTCCGCCTACTTTGGGGGCGTCCCTGCAGTGTAAACGTGCTATTTCGAAATAAGCGTGCGGTGGCGACGTACCCACATTAGAGTCCTTCTTGATTGTTATTTCCGCACGAAGCCAGGGGTGAAGGGTTCTGACACCTGGATCTAAAGGCTGCATCTGTTCCTTTGGGATTTCTCCTCGCTGATCGTGCTGGGGGCTCTGTTCTGCCCGCTCCAACCCTCCGGACCCCCCAGCTACCATCACCATCTGGGAACCTTGCTCAGTTCAAGCGTCTCGGCGTGGGGAGATCTCGCTCTCCCTCTCCCCCCTCTAGGTACAGCCTCCTGACCCTGCCTTCTGAGATCAGTTCTGCTTTGCCAGCCCTAATGCTTGTCATCAGATTTGCCTGAGAGTTCTTGCCACTGTTGTGCTTATTTGGCTTCCCTTCTCTGGTTACTACCTGGAAATAAACAACTTCCATGGGTAACCTGGTTGCTTTTCACCCCGCCCCCCCATTGAGGTGTTGTTTTGGCTTCCCCATTCCCTCTGCAGCCGGCTCCTTGTCCCTAAGCTCAAGGTGCCTGTAGCACCCACAACTCCTGTGGGGTTTGCGCGTCACGCGGGAGACCAGCCGCAGGGCTGTGGGGTGCAAGCGGGGACAGGGAAGTGCTGACTCGGGGGGGGCGTATGACGGTGGCATCTTAAAGTGCTGTTTAAGCAACCCACTGAGTCCAAGGGCGCATGAGGGTCAGGGCCTGGCATTTGCTGTGCAGCCAGCTGAGCCCAGGGACCCACAAGGGGTGAGGGGTGAGTGCTGAGAAACCGGCCTCTCCCACGTGCTCTGGTGGGAGGGGGTGTCTGGGTCTGGGTTTAGCTTCTAGGGTGGGAAGGACCTAGGCCTGGGGCCCTTGGCTCCTCGTGTGTGTGTGTGTGTGTGTGTGTGTGTGTGTGATATTGACAAATGCCCAGACATTTACCTACCCTCTAACCTGCTTAGTGTGGGGAGGGGGGATCTAATCAATATCACAGCCCCTCCCCACGCCCAGTTCCAGCTTCGGTGTGGATTGGATCCAGCAGCAAGGACCGTCCTCTGCTAGAAACCTTCCCTGGCACCTGGCTCGGCCCTCCTGAGAAGGGGGGGGCCGTCAATTTGGGAGCCTCCCCCTCACCCCCTGCTACCGGGCTCCTTCCCTGGCTCGCTGGTAGCAGCTCTGGGGAGGAAACCGGGCTGGTTAATTTTTGCAGCCTGCTCACCGCCTGAGCTAGATCTGGGTCCCCCCCGTACCCCTTATTCCTCCCCCCGGACAGGAGTCTGCCCCCCACATTCCAGCGGGGGGGCTGCCCCGGCCGAGCCCTGTCTGGGGAGACCGCGGTCCCATTCTGCAGCGTGTGGGCAGATCTGTAGATTTGGATTTTTTTTTTTTTTTGAGTACAGAGTGACAGATGGCGATTCCTCCTTCCCCAGAGAGAAAAATCTCCCTGAATGCAGGCGCATGTCAATCACTGGCTCTCATGTGATAGCTCCTGCCGATGACGTGCCAACCATATGGCATTGGCATCAGAACTGGTACCCCCTTTGCTGGGTAGGCATGCCACACTCTGCTCCTTTTGGATAGCGCGCTGAAGGCAGCCGCGGTGCCTTGAGGAGCCTTGCTCTGGTCCCAGAAGATGCCAGGGACAATGAAATAAGCATCTCTCCAGGTAGCGCGGAAGGTAGGAGGGCGGCGGGGGCTTAGCCACTTGACCGGCTAAAAAAGCCGCCTCCGTGGTTATTTATTTATTTTTTCTCTCCTCCAGAACTGGCTTGATTTTATTTTTTTGGTAAGCCCCGATCTCGACAGGGGAGGGGTCTGATTTCGATCCCCCCCCTCCCCCGATTGAATTTGCTCTAGCGCCGCCAGAATGCCCCCCGAAAATAGACCAAATCAACTCTGGTCCAGACGCGGTGCCACCAGGGAACGAGGTACCGTAGATCTCTCGGCCCACGCATTTGGGGAGGAACAAAGATGAAGCGAAGAATTTGGGGCTGGTTTTTTTTAATGGAGGAAAGGTGCCTTCGAAGCCAGAAGACTCCGGCTTCCAATGTTGCCGGTTCCCAAAAGCCAAAGCCGCCCTGCCCGCCCAGACAGACACACAGACAAAGAGAAGGCGAAGGAAATTGACCCGCGATCGCTCCGGTCGGTCGCCTGGCTGGAGAGAACCGGGCTAGCCGGCGGGGAACGGTGCTAACTCCGGAGTGGCAGCGAAGACGCTCCGGTGTCTGGAAGTGGGGCTGGGGGCCAGGGAAGATTCGTTTTTTTAATAGTTAATTTGGATTTTTTTAAAGAAAAAATTACCCCCGCCCCCGTTCCGTGCATTTATTTGTTTTTAGCCTCTCGGGGGTTGATCTGAAACCGCAGCTGGAGTGTGATTCGGTCTGGCTGCGTCCAAGGGGGTTGATCAAACCCACCCAGACGTGGCGTGGGGACGGGGGGGGCAGTC